TGTGACCACTGCACTGCGTGCTCCCCATTCTCACCCAGGCCGTGGCCCCTGTTCTGCAGGGTGTGACGCCAGCGTTGTCTGGGTCTTCTGGAAGGTGTGAGGGTGGGTTTCAGACAGAAGCAAAAGAATCATCTCTATTTGAAAAAGAATCAAATTCCTTCTTCTGAGGGTCATTGCCTGAGATAAAGCCGCCAGGAGTCACTAGGAGGCTCCTGTTTGCACAGGCGTTGACAGCCGTAGTGGCAGTGCCATGTGGCCACAGAAACTGTAAATGTGAGCAGAGAAGAGCATCCAAGGCAGATGAAGGCAGTGTGCACCTTGGTACCTGGGGTCCACAGTCACTGTGTCCTTTTGTCAGAGGGGCCAGAGCTGTGGAGCCGAGGGCCTGGCCTAAGAGGGCCTGGTCTCCACATTGCTGTCCTCTCTGTCAACCTGAACAGGGACAGGCGAGCTCACTGCGGCCATCCCCCTGCCTTCAAGTAGTGCCTGTCCCATTCTGTCCATGTTCAGAGGCTGTAACAACTGGGGAGGACACACAGGCAGCTCAGGCCCTCAGGTGCCGGCGCTTGACCTCTGGCTGTGGTTGTTGCCCTTGGGTCAACGTCACAGTCACTTTGGGCCTTGTCTTTTACCATGAAAGCAGAGAGTATATGCCACTCTCCTCTGAGCCCTTGGCGAGGTGGCTGGCTGCAGGCTGACTGTAGGAACAAGGCTGGCCATGTACAGGAGGAGCCTGAAACATCCGGTAGAGCCTAGAATGTCTGGCAATGCTGCAAACAAACAAACGAACAGCAGACAAACCAAAACCAAAGAAACAAAAAGCCCGGACACTATGGAGGGCATTAGAGGGACAAAGGACTCTATATAGAGGGGACTCCCACCTGCCCAAACTGGGACCATTTGAATAACAAAATGATTCGTCCTTGAATTATAGCTCAGAGACAAAGCAAATATCCATGAGCCCATATGATCAGTAAATGAGTAGTGGAGACGAGACAGATTCCCTGGGCAGGGGAATTCTGACTAGTTTGTGCAGGCTCCGCACTCTGAAGCAGGTGGGGTTTAACCCCTGCTCCTATAGGCGCTACAAAATGACCTTTTCCTGAGTGCCATATGGGAAGTGAAGGAAAGGAGTAAATTTATAGTGAAGAAACCTGCCAAGCACTGTCACAGCCAGGTGACCACAGTCAGCATCAACAGGGCTAGGTCATGTGACCATGTGAACTCTTGACACGGCATGAGAGGAATATGCTGAACCTCTGTGGTCTTCACCTCCAGCCCCAAAACCCCAGTCTAATCGTGAGAAAAGCATCAGCCACACCCAAACTGAAGGATCATCTACAAGATGACGCCTGACTAGTAGGTACTCTGCAAAGCCATCAAGGCCTTCCAACAGCAGGAAGGTCTGGGAAGTTGTCACAGAAGAAAAACAGCCCCAAGAAACCGAAGGAGATGTGAATGCACTGATGTGGCCTGTATGAGATCTGGAGCCCAAAGGGCATCGGGGGGAGCTAGGAAATCTAGTTTCTCGGAAGTGGGTGGACTACAGTTACTAGGAACGTGTCAGCACAGCTCGTTGGTTGTGACAAATGCTGCCCAGTAATAGCAGGTGTCGATCACAGAGACAGTGGGTGCGGAGTTCCGGGGAAGTCTCTCCTCTACCATCCTGGCAACTTTCCTGCAAATCACAAGCTATTCTAAAATGAAAAAGTTGATTCCAGGTTGAATAGCTCTTATTTGAAATGTTTGGGACTAGAACTATTCTGGAGCATGGAATTCTGGGATGTATATAGCAAGCTATCTATCAGCTATCATGACCCAAGTCTAAACAGGAAATGTATTGGTTTCATAATCACCTTAGACACAGAGCCTGAAGGTAATTTCATACAATATTTTTAGCATGCCTGGTTTTGACTGCGCCCTGTCACATGAGGTCAGGGTGAAATTTTCCACTTGTGGCATTATACGGGCACTAGCTTTGAGTTTTGGAATATTTTAAATTGCAGATCTTTGGATTAGGGCTGCTAGCCTGTAATTATAAAGAACAGGGGCCTAGGACATCCACTGGGGCAGGTAGCTAGGAGGTTCAGCATGTGGTGTGTGAGTCCCTAATGGCAGTTAGTGGCCCTGCTACTGTATGAACGCAGGTGGTTACTATCCCAGGTCAGCTCACTCAGCTCTGGGTAGGGGAGGGGCGTCCCTAGGTGAGAGTGAACTTGTGGCTTCCAAGACCGGCTTCCATGGGCTTCCTGCCTGCCAAAGAAAGGCTGATGGACTTGGCCTGGCACAGGCTTCCAGCTGTCTGATGGGCTCCCTGGAACTGGCTTGCCCACTTCAGCCCTAGCCTGAGGCCCAGCATTCTGCCTTCTGCACTGAACCCGGCCCTCCCTTGCTCAGTGTGGGCCATGCCAAAGTTGTGGACTCTCGAGGCCCCTATTTAACCTGTCTACTCTTTCTGTAAACCTTAAATCATTTCTAGCTTCCTTATATTGCCTAACACAAGGCAGATGCTTTGCAAACAGTTGTTACACTACGTTGTTTAAGCAAAAATGGCAAGCAATACCCTATATGTATTTAATATAGTTTTTTTTTTTTCCAATGAAAGGGGTTCAATCCAAAGTTGGTTGGACCCACAGATGCAGAGCTGTGGAAACCAGCCTTCAGATGGCAAGGTCCTGGTGCTGGTCACACGTTCCAGCCACCAGAGGGCGAGAGATGTGAGCAAAGTGCAGCCCTGAGGCCCCCGCCCCACACCCCAGTGACTCCTACTCCCTGGGGACGTGCAGTGGGTTGGCATGGACATGGAAGCATAGAGGCCACCGTGCCTGTGAACCCACCATGGTCTGCTTGCGGAGCACACTGGGGAGTCCCTGGCACTGACCACACCCATGTGGAAGGAAGGTTGTATGCAGACGCTGGAGGCCTCTAGGATAGGTGTGGGGTACACAGATTGTGGGGACAGCGCCTCTCCACCCTGGAACCCATCATTCCCATAAAGCCTTTGGCCCACTAGGGAGGGAGGAAGAGCCTGCCATGGCCTGTCCATCATCCCCTGGGAAGTTGGTGCTGCCTGCCCACATTGGCTGTTCCACTTCGGTCTCCCACTCCTTTGGACCCAGACCTGGGCTCTGGGAAGGTCCATGGCAGAAGTCTGATGCTGGCTGTTCAGAAGTTGCACATTTGGGAGCTGGGGCAGCTGCCAATTCTGGGCACTGGGGTGAGTGGGCTGGGTCTTGCCTGTGCCTGCAGCTTTTGCTGCCACTTGGCCTGGCTCCTTGTCTGGCCCAGGGGAGGTATGTGGGCATGGTGCAGGTCTCTAGTCCCTCTCCCACCTGACCCTCTGTGTGGGACTCACACTCATGTGGTTGGAAGTGCCAACCTCTCTATTTGTGACCAACAGTACCTTTGTGGGCTGGAGGTTCATGGCTTTGCTTACAAAAGGGGAAGAAGTGATGCCTGAGGGCAGGGGCAGAACGAGAGCAGGCATGCCAGCCCCTGCCAGCCCCACCCAGCCAGGGGGCAGGAGTCAGAGCTGGGCTGGGCCCTACTGCTGTCCAGCCCCTGACCTGTTCCTGCAGGCTTGTGCAGCTTGCTCATGGTTCCCAGACATTCCCACAAAGCAGCCCCGATGACAGCCCTAGTGGTCCCCACTCTGCAGAAGAAGAAATGGCTTCTTAGGGGTTCTCTGCTGTGCTCCAGGTCAGCCAGCTCAGACAGAGCAGCGCTGGGACTCGAACTTGGGACTCCCAGGAGCTACTTTACCATTGCTCTGTTCTTACCCTGAGCAGGAGCTGAGCAAGGCATGTCTCTAAGTCTCTCAGAGAGAAAACTCAGGAACTAGACATAGGAGAGATGGCGTATCCTTGGCGTATTGCATGCAGATATCAGCTCATACTGTTAACGGGACAGAGTATGTTCCATGAAGCAAGTAAAATATAGGCTGTATTTGGATTGAACTCAGACCCTTGCGCTTGCCAGGGAAGCACTTATTCCACTGAGCCATCTCCCCAGCTCCAAATAACTAAAGGCAGAGCGGAGACTCGAACCTGCAAAGTCATGCTGTAGAGCCTAATGCGTAAACTGCTACGCTGTCTCTCCAGCTCAGTTCTGTAAAATAACACATGTGCAAATGGGCATATGCACACACACATGCACATGTGGCAGGAAACTTGTTAATGGTGGAGACTATCTATTTGGCTAATAGAAATGTAGATAGTTCAGTTTTCTTTCTGGGAGGTACTTTAAAAATTTGTTTATAGGGAAATGTTTTTTACTTTTAAATTTTTTATTTATTTTTTAATTTTTTTATTTATTTATGTATTTGGTAGAGTCTCACTACGCAGCTCAGACCTCCTATCTCAGCCTTCCCAACGCTGGGATTACAGGCATGTACCACCACACCTGGACTCGGTGGCCAGCATGGCGCAGGGAGCTGGCATGGCATTTGGTACCGGGGATCAAAGCCGGGTCCTAGTGCTTGCCAGACAGGCACTTAGGCTACTGAGCTATCTCCCGGCCTGTTTCTTACTTTTTAAAGGAGTTATTAAAAACATTGTTAATCAACTTTCTTGTTTTGAAAATCTGTAATATATGTATTGTTGTATGTTACCTTGTTTCTGATTTTTGTTCTTACGTTTGTTTTTACTCTTCAAAATAAAATAAAATTTTAATTAAAAAAAGAAAGAGCAATATGAGATAAATGAGAGGAATATTCAAATCCTGGTGAGAACATAACAAGATAAACATCATTATGATTCTTTTGTAAAAAAAAAAAAATCCAACCAAACAAACAAATAAAAACCACCCAAACCTCGAGTGGCAAATGGGAAGCAGGACATGGGTGGTCTCAGGAGGGCTGAGCTCCCCATCCTGGGGCCAAGCAGCAGAGGCTGCATCTCTGGTGCATGCTGTGCTGGCTGACCTGTGCTGTATGTTAGGTATCTAGCTTAGAACTTGGCCTTTGGGAATGTTTGTGTCCCTGAAAATGTGTTCTGCTGCAGGTGGATGAGATTTACCACGACGAGTCCCTGGGGGCCCACGTGAGCATTGCCCTGGTCCGCTTGATCATGGTCGGCTACCGGCAGGTGAGGCCCTGTTGGTTGGTTGGCAGGCAGGAAGGGTTTGGAGGAACAAAAGCCGTGAAGCCACGTGTGTGGCCAGCTGTGGCGTGGCCAGAGGACTTCAACGGTGGAATTGGAACCCTGAGCCCATATGTGAAGCTCGGGGTGGAGGCGCTGGCAGCGGGAAGCAGGGAGTCATGGGTTCTTTGGCAGAGGAAGCTGGCAGTCCTGTGTCCTTGCAGAGGGTGGCCCCCTTTCCCTGAGTAATCAGTAGGAAAATGGGCTTCCAGAGGACAGTGACCAAGATAGGCCATGTCATATTGAGCAGGAGCCTCTGGACTCTATAATCTTAGAAGGCGTTGCTAACCTTTTTTAAGCAGGGGGTTAAGTAACAACCCAACTTACATCTAAGCTGTGAAGATTTGATTGGGTGGTGAGCGTGAAGTGTGGGAAAGGATTCAGAGTAATGCTGGCCTTGCAGTTAGTTGAGGGGATTGGAAATACAGTAGCACGCATCCAAGGCAGCGTTCCAAGCTGGGAAGGCCACGCAGGTGGGGCTGCGGGTGGGAGGACCGCGGCTGTGGTACTCTGTACTCTGATGGCTCCCTCTTGCCACTCTCCCGGCCTTGCAGTCCCTGAGTCTGATAGAGCGTGGGAATCCTGCACGCAGCTTGGAGCAGGTGTGTCGCTGGGCGCACTCTCAGCAACGCCAGGACCCCAGCCATGCTGAGCACCACGACCACGTCATCTTCCTCACGCGGCAGAACTTTGGGCCCTCAGGTATGCAAGGTACTGTATTTGCTGTGGCAAGGTGTGTGCGGCTTGCAGGGCAGAGCTGGGGACTCAGGCTGGGCCTGAAGAAGCGTGGGCTCTGTGGGGGAGGTTGGAAGGCCCTTGCTGTGATCGGTGCCCCAGCTGCTCAGAGGCTGGCTTCTTGAAGGCCCCCGGTGAGCCTTGAGATGCTGTTGCCCACACCATGTCCTGTGTCCTGATGGCAGACCATGGGTACTTGGGGACGGTTGTGTGGGCTGCAGAAAGCTCCAGGCCTTGGTGGCCCAGCGCAGGGCCCCAAGCTCAGTTCAGCACCTGGATTCTCCCTCTTTGGTGGGGACAGCCATAATCTTTGCCTTCCTGCATGCCAAGCTGATCAGAGGAGCGAGGGGAGCCTGAAGTGTCCATGACAGTATAGACAACTGTATGCGTCGGTACACATGTGCAGCTTTGATCCCCCAGTTTTTCACCCAGGGAAACTGAAGTGCAGAGCAGGGCAGGGCTTTCATGTGCCCCACAGCAGACAGATCTGAGACCCAGCTGGCCCTCCAGGCGCCGCGTTGAGCACTAATTTTATTAATGCTGAAAATCAATCAGCCAGCCCTGCCCACCCACAGGGCTTCTTGTGTGAACCAATGAAGCTCCAAACATGGTTTTCAGACACACACATATAGGCCCAGACATACACATACACAGAGACATGTGCACACTATGTGCAGACACTGTACATGCATGTCCAGCCATGTGCACAGATACCCGGCAGGCACATGGACACACAGATACACAGACGCACGCACGCACACACTTCCGCAAAGATGACACAGCGTGGACAACAAATCCTAGACCTCAGGATGAGAGGCCCCAGCCTCCTCCCCACTGTGGCCTCATTACACCCCTGAGCTCCAGGAAGCCAAAACCAGCCCAACAACTCTCCACCGTAGCAGAGGCCTGCTCTAGTTGAGCTCAGGGCCAGGCAGGGAGCCTACTGCCAGCACACCTCCTCCTTGCAGCCTTCCAGCTCAGCCTGCCCTCCCTGCTGGACCTGGGTCAGGGGTGTGTGTGTGTGTGTGTGTGTGTGTGTGTGTGTGTGTGTGACATTTATGGTATTGGGGATTGAACCCTGGACCTCAAGCACCTAAGCACACAACCTGCTGCGCAGCCCTACCCCAGTCCTAGGTGGGTTTGAGGAGCAGGCCCTGAGGCATGGGCCTTGCACACAGGGATGCACAGTGTACAGTGAATGTGGCCAGTGTCCTCAGTGCCCAGCCCTGTGCCTTGCCTCAGTGCCAGTGTGGCCGTCTTCGCCTTTGCTGGTGTTCTCACCTCTGGAGAGTCATGTTACCTGTCTTCAAGGCCCATCTCTGTCACCCCATAAGTCACTGTCTGTGCCCCTGGGTCTCACTAGCCAAAGCCATTTCTTTTCCCTGCCTACAGGTCATACCTGTCCCCCCACCTAGCTCTCTGAATTGGGCCCCTCAGGCCCACCTGTAATCTGATTGCCTGATCTCCTTGCCAGACTGGACTGCCCTTAATGCCACTTTAGGGGAGTGCTTTGTGGGGTGGGGATAGGAGCTTGGGACTGATTCCTCTGTTTTTCCCCTTTATATCCAAAGAATTTTTTTCTCTTTCTCTTTCCCTTTCTTTCTCTCTCTTCCCTTTTTCCTTTTCCCTTTCCTGTCTCCTTCCTTCCTTCTTTTCTTCCTTCCTTCTCTCCCTCCTTCCTTCCCTTCTTCCTTCCCTCCCTCCTTCCTTCCTCCCTTTCTTTTTTCCTTCCTTCATTTCTTCCTTCCTCCTGTTGTTTGTGAGATTGTCCCTCTCTTTGTTGTTGAAACTGGTCTTAAACTCTCAGATTCACACAGTCCTATTGCTTCCATCTTCTGGGAAGCTGGGATTAGCCTTGGATGCCACAGTCCCTGGCTCCCCATAGTAGTCAACACAGTGTCACCTGCTACGTCCACAGAGAAAGCATTTTAGACTTGTTTGCTGACTGACAGACTGACTAACTATAAGACAGGAGGAAGGTGGTGTAGAAGGAGAGGGTGCCCAGGCTTGTATCCTACCTGGAAATCCCACCGCTTGCTAGAATGAGTAGCCAGTAGAGTGCGGGAAGTTGTAGGCCATGAGGGAAGCCATCGAGCCCTAGGGCACAGGGGCAGCTAGGCCCAGGGCTACTGTGCATGGATAGGACTTTGTGTCATTCTCCTCCAAGGCTTCCAGCACTGACAGGGTTAGGCTGTCCCCTGCAGTGGCTGGGCTGGGCTCAGACCTCAGCGTGTCCCACCTAACCTGTCGGTGACCTTCCTCTCTCTCTCCTTGGCAGGGTATGCACCTGTAACTGGCATGTGCCACCCCCTGAGAAGCTGTGCCCTCAACCATGAGGATGGCTTCTCCTCGGCTTTTGTGGTGGCCCACGAGACTGGCCATGTGTAAGTGGTATTGGGAGGGTGGGCGGGGCCCGTAGCTCTGTGGCCATGGGCTACATCATGACCACTGAGGAGTTCTGGGGTGAGAGGTGTTGCCCAGATCTGGCTCTGGTCCCAGTGTCTCAGGATAGCCCAGAAGAGCTGGCTATTCCTGAGGCCCGGTGTCCCAGATCTGCGGGTTGACAGAGGCCTTACCTGTGGGTGAGGCATCCAAAGAGCCCTTGGCAGTTCTGGGTCTTTGTGTCATGAAGACCAGAAGCAGCCCTAGCTTTGAGCACATCAGTGATGGTGTCCCTGTCACAGGCAGGGCCTACTGTCTGGGTGGTCTCCATTCCTGGCTTCCTTCTGTCCTGAGGCCCCTCTGAGACCTCCTCCAGCTCACCCGGTGTTCCACTCCTGTAGAGGAGCTGGCCCAAGCCCATGGTAAACAGGCTCACTCAGGCCCTGGCAGCAGACCTGGCAAGGCTGGCGGGTGGGCTCTGTGGCCAGGAGGCTGTTCACAGCATAGGCATTTGTTCAGCCATATTCTTGAGCACCTATCCTGCCCACCCCTGCCCCTTAGGAATGAGGCTGAGACAGAGGTCAGGACAGGGATGCCCTCCTGAAGCCCAGATCTGTATAGGGATGGGGCTGAGGGACACCAGAGGAACAGTGGTGGCTTCTCTCCTTTTGCCTCAGTTTTCCCCGGTGATGGATGTAGAGGCGGATCCCAGAGAAATCTTTGGGTCCCCTCCCTGCCATGGGAATTGCTGGAGCCAGAAGTTTGCAGGACAGCAGTGTCTACTCTTCCTGGAGTAGAGGCCCCTTTTGGTGCAGGGAGGAGGTCAAGTTCAGATGTCCCTGTGTCTGCCTAGGCGTCAAAGCCAGGTGCAGCCACCAGGGAGCTTTTAAGAAATTGGGGCCACTGGGCTTTGGTGTTATATGCTAGCTGTGAAGAACGCAGTTTTGAATTTAGGCTCTTATCGGGGTTGCTGCCTGTGCCATGCTGAGCTCTGTGCTAGGTTCTCAGGGTCTGGCACACAAGGGGCTATGTGGGACAGACTGAATCCGAATTTCTGATTATGGTAGGGAGCAGGGTCTCCTGCCTCAGATCTGCCTGCCAGCCTTCCCAGGGCAATTCCCCAGAATGACTTGGGGCTCCCTTCTGTGTCCCACCTATCCTGCCTCCCAGGCTTGGCATGGAACACGATGGGCAGGGGAATGGCTGCGCAGACGAAACCAGCCTGGGCAGTGTCATGGCGCCCCTGGTGCAGGCTGCCTTCCACCGCTTCCATTGGTCCCGCTGCAGCAAGCTGGAGCTCAGCCGCTATCTCCCGTAAGTCACTTCCGATCTTGGCCAGGGCCACGGGGAGCAGACAGCCTGGCATTCTAGACAGAGGTGGCCTAGCTGGCTGCCACCCTCAAGTCATCATCACCCAGCCTAGCTTGACTCATGTGGTCCTTCCAGCCCTCACTCACACCACTTGGCCTAGAACACCCCCATAACATCACAGGTGTGTTTGTCCCAGTGTGCCCAGGTGACCATTTGCATAGAATTCCTGCTAACCACAGATTTCCTGGCCCCACTCAAGATGCTCCTAAGAATCTGCTGGAGGTTGGGCTTGGGAGGGCGGCTGCATTCTTCCAGCGCTGCAGGCAGTGCACGTGCTGGTGGGTCGTGATCACCAGGCAGGGGCTTGGGTACCTCATTCTCCTCAGGGTCCCAGAGAAGGTGCCTGCCAAGGAGCACATGTGGGGTGCGGGACACATGCTAGACTCAGGAACTCGAGGCCTGAGAGCGGCTAGCATGGATCTGGCGGGTTAGGTGGAAGAGATGGAGTCACTGACCTCCCAAGGCTCTGGCTGGGGCAGCCTGCCCCACATACCCTGTGACAGCAGTTGGCTTCCCCTGCAGGGAATAATGAGTCCTGAACTCGTCAGGAATCAACTCTTAGTCTTGGCTAAGAGTGCTTGCTTATAGCATGGTCAAAACTGACCTGTAAATAGTCTCCAAATTGAGCTGCTAACCCTAGTTCCTGTCCCTAGCTACAAACAGAGCCCTCCCTGTCACTGCGGAAACCAAGAACCGAGTGAGGGGATATGAGCAGCCTGTCCTTCCTGGAAGAAATGCTGCTGCTCAGGGAAGGGGTGCAGGTTCCTGGCTCATCAAAGGCCCTAGTCCCTGGGGAGGGGGTGCATGTCAGGCGGGCTCACCTCCCGTCTCCACTGCAGGTCCTACGACTGCCTCCTCGATGACCCCTTCGATCCCGCCTGGCCCCAGCCCCCAGAGCTGCCTGGGATTGACTACTCGATGGATGAGCAGTGCCGCTTTGACTTCGGCACTGGATACCAGACCTGCTTGGCAGTGAGTGTCCCTGGGCTCTGTGGAGCTGAGACACAAGGTCCCTGTCCTCCTGTGACCCAGGCTAGTCATTTGTGAGACACTTTTCACCTGGCCAGCCAGTGGCCCTGGGGATGGGCCCACAAGCTTGGTGCCACCATGGTGGTGGGGGTGGGGCAGCCATGTGCAGACTTGAAGGTGGGTTTGCTCTGGAAAAGGTGGGGGTGAGTAGCCAAGGGAGCACTGAGTGGCCGATGGGGTAGCCTGGCCCTGGGGAGTTTACCTGTGAGGCCATCAGTGTGTCAGACCAGGAACTGGGCCAGGGGAGCAGAATTCCCACCCTTAGGAGAGTTGGGGGGCATTTAGGTGTAACACTGCTGTGGGGCACATCATCTCCTGGGAGTCGGGGGCCACTTCTGTGTCTCTAGCCGCATGCCTGAGGCTGTAGATACAAGTGACTCTCTCTCTCCACCCTGCAGGACAGGGTGGGGAACACCCTCAGCCCAGAGATCAGAAGGCTGAGACTCAGCAAGGGGACATCGCAGGGGAGGGGCTTCCTGAGGGGGTGGGCCTTCAGGACTCAAGTGCTTTATGGTCCCCAAAAGGAATATAGCTCCCCTTTCCTCCATGGAGCCCCTGTTTGGTGTAAGAAGCCCCTGTGTGTGGCCACCTTCCCGGCTCTGCAGCCACACTGGGACATATGGGCTGGCAGAGTTTGCTTTTCAGTGGAATACAGGGATGTGGAAGTGGGTGTGGATGTGTGGGGCTCTGGCTTTCTCTGAGCCCTGGGCCCCAGCATCTATCACACCCTCCCCCATCTCTATCACTGCCCTTTGCCCCCGGTCAGGGTTTGGGGTTCTAGTGCCCAAATGTTGCATTGGGGGTGCTGAGAGAAGCTATTGAGGACACTGGGGCTCTCCTGCAAAGGCTGGAACATCTAGTGACCAACCTCAGCCTCTCTGAGGGTCCACATTAGAGGGCAGTGGGGGGCTTCAAACTCTTTTGGCTCCCCTCTGCACCCCCTTATGTATATAGGGATTTGAAGCACAATGGGCCAGAGTCTCAAACCCTGGTCCCAGCTCATGACAAAGTGGCTTCTGCTGAGGTAGGGAGGGAGACCAGGAGAGAGGACAAGGGGTCTGTGGGCTCTACTGGCCTTGACTCAGTCCCCTGGTCAGGGAGGATGGCTCTGGGAACCACTAGTACTTGGGGTAGAGAGGAGCTTGTGATGATCTTTTTTTTTTTTTTTTTTTGCGGAACTGGGGATTGAACTCAGGCCGTTGCGCTTGCCAGGGAAGCGCTTATTCTACTGAGCCATCTCTCCAGCCTGAGAGGAGCTTGTGGGTGTGTGGGGTTCTGGCTTTCTCAGAGCCCTGGGGCCCAATATCTGGCCCCCTTCCCCTCTCTCTATCACTGCCCTTAGCCCCTGGACAGCTGGTCAGGGATGGAGAGTCCAGCCCGTGATTCCCTCCCCTTGCCACCAGTTCAGGACCTTTGAGCCCTGCAAGCAGCTGTGGTGCAGCCACCCTGACAACCCGTACTTCTGCAAGACCAAGAAGGGGCCCCCACTGGATGGAACGGAGTGTGAACCAGGCAAGGTACCGGCAGGATCTGCAGTGGCAGCGCTGTCCTGGGGTGGGGGGCATCCATTCTGGTGGGGGTGCAGGACCCTGGGGGTCTCTGCATGTGTGTTTGTGAAGGGGAACAGTGCACAAACACTGGCATGAGGCTGATCTGCTCATGGCCTGCCTCACAGTCCCCTCCCTCATGTGCCTCAGCTTTTGCCTCTGCAGTCAGCCCGGCTTAGCATGATGTCAGAGCCCGTGGGGCAGGAATGGTGACTGCCATGCCACAGACCAGGTTACAGGACTTGCTGGAACCACACAGGAGTGATTAGCTGACAAGAGATGGAGGGAAGACTCTGGGTGTCCTGCTTGTGCCTGACCCTGTCCCCAGGCTGTTGTACATGTGCACACAGTGCACACGCGCGCGCACACACACACACACACACACACACACACAACCTGGCCCTTCACATGCATGCTTCCTGGTCTGTTTTCTCCCTTGTCCATGGTGGTTGCCAGGGCTGTGTTTTCAAGGATCCTGTGCCCTGGTTCCTGAGCTGAGCCCTATCCCTGACCACTGTGTCACACCTTGAGCCATTCTTTGGACTTCTCCAGTCCTGCCAACCCGGCTTCCCCCTGACCAAGCATCCTCCCTAGCCCTCCAGGTGGCTCTGAAGCAACCGGATCACATCAGAGCAAGTGAGAGAGCTGGGAAGAAGCCAGGTGTTAAGAAGTTTTTGCAGCCGAGTGTGGTGGTACAGGCCTGAGTCTCAGCACCTGGAGGCTGAGGCAGGAAGATCCCAAGTTCCAGTGTAGCTTGAGCAACCTAGTGAGACCATGTCTCAAAAATAAAAAAAAATAACAAAGGACTGGGACTGTAGCTCAGGGCAGAGGTCCTGGGTTCAATCCCAAGTACTGCACCAAAAGAGAGGGGAAGAGAGAAAAAGCAGGAGGCAGGGATTTTGCTCAACATCAGCTGTAATCCCAGCATGGTGTGCCTGCCCTCGGCCCTCTGCCACCTGAGCTCTGCCTTGCTGGGCGTCTCCTGATTTGTACCCCACAGATGGATGGAGCTTCCTGGAGGGCTGTGTGCACCAGACACCGACTGCTGTGGGTGGGTGCAGCTGTCCATGTTGTACCCTTTGAGGGCTCAGGAAGAGGAGCCCCAGGGCTGAGGCTGCTCCGCTCAAGGCAGGGGAGGATTGTGTCAGACACCAGGCTTTCTCTTAGCATCTCTTTCTCTGGGCCTGCTGTGGTGTCCACCAGCTTCACTATGTGCCTGCTTGAGCAGCCTCCATAGCAGGCTCCTCCACAGTGACCCAAGGTGACCTCATGTCCTCTGCTCCACCCAGTGGTGCTGTGACCCAAGGTGACCTCATGCCCTCTGCTCCACCCAGTGGTGCTTCAAAGGTCACTGCATCTGGAAGTCACCGGAACAGACTTATGGCCAAGACGGAGGCTGGAGCCCCTGGACCAAGTATGGGTCATGTTCTCGGTCATGTGGAGGTGGAGTGCGATCTCGCAGCCGGAGCTGTGACAACCCCCCGTGAGTGTGCTTCCCTGGCATGGGCCGGGCAGGGGACCCCTCAGTAGGCTGGAAGGACATGGAAAGTGAGGCAAGGCATAGAAGCAAATGTCTCCCATGTGTCACGTACTCTGTTGGCCAGGACCCAAAGCTGGGGCAAGTCGGACCATGCCCCCTGCACATGCTGGGTGGGATTCTGATGCCTGTGAGTGTGTCTTAGCTAGTGATGCTCACGTGTTCATGTGCAAATGCCCAGAAGCTGGGTGGGCCCATGACTGCCAGTTACCCAGCCCTCAGATAACCCAGATCCTCCAGACAAATTGAGTAAATACTAATGTTGAATGGGACCCCCAACTTTACCTTCTACTGCATGGGGCAAAACTTCCTTTAGTTTTATTAACTGAACTCTTTCTTGTATCAAAGCCCCTAAGGCCCCCACACAAATTGTCAGCATGCTGGGGTGATGACTATTGGTCCCTCCTTGTCCCCTCTGTAGGATTCCCTTCCGCAGCCCATGGCTTTGGAGCTTGTGTGCCCCAGCTGAAGGAACTGGCTTGGGGTGGTGGCAGACAGCTGAGGCTGCCTTGCATGGCAGCTGGCCCTGGGGACCTCCACACAGATAGGGCCTGGACCAACTCCTCCTGCACAGGGTCACTGCGATGTGTACTGCAGAATGGCAGATCCCAGGACAGTCACATCCTCAGGGGTAGCAGCCATTCTTACTGTGCAGACGGAATGCTCACTACCTACAGAAGCAGCCTGTTCTGTGGTCAGGCAGAAAGCCTGACCTGCTACCAATGGGAGCCCAAGAGTCTGTCTTGTAATTTTCACTTGGTGAAGAAACAAAAGTCCGGGTGATAGGAATTGATGGTGGCGCTCGCTTTGCCAAACCACCTTGCAGTCAAGGCTGACAGTTATGCTCTTGATTGCAGCCCTGACTGAGCTTTCCTGTAATGACAACTGTCTTATTTTATGGGGCTTAAATGAAATAATGTGTGTGTGCCCCGGCACTGTGGCCAGCCAGGTGGAGCACTAATAGATGACAGCTGCTGTTGTAATTGTTGGTTTTACGAAGTGTGGGGAGCACGGTGTCAGAGCCAGTGGGATGCTAAGCCCGGAGGTCGGAAGCCACACGGTATCTGCCAGCAGCAGCCATTAATCTTGGAAAGTTTGTACTGATTAGCACTTGAAAACTTTGGAATCTCCTGGCTTAACTGAGAAAGGAGTGCAGAATAGAGACAGGAGTACAGATTACTTGCCAAAGTCTTTTCTTATCATTCTTCAAGATGCACCAGGACAGGCAGAGCAGCCAAAAAAAAAAAAAAAAAAAAAAAAAAAAAAAAAAAAAAAAAAAAAAAAAAAAAAAAGAAAGAAAGAAAAAGTAACTTATCAACATTGAAATGTCATCCTTATACAAAGCCCATAGTTCATGTTGGGGATAACACTTGGTGTTCTGTGGATTTTAATTAATATACAAGGGTATACATCTACCTTTAAAGTAAGAGACAGAAAGACTTGACTGTCCTAAAATTCCCTTGTTCTGCAGTTATTTATCATTTATACCCACACCCACTAAAAACTCTCTAGGGGGGACCACCCGCTCAGGGCCTCCCTCCTGTCCCTTTCTCAGACAGGAGGTTTCTTTCCCTCAATAAATATATTCTGCTCATAAAAAATACATAAAATAAAATAAAAACTCAAAAAAAAAAAAAAGATGCATCAGGTGTAAGTAAAGTAAGAGGTTTTACAGTCTGGCTTTTTAAGGAAAACATTAAGACATAGCCCAGCCAGGACTTGGCTACCCCTCCTTCTGATTCCAAACCCAAGCCTCTTGGACCACTCCTTAGCTTATTCTTATACTGAATGGTTGTGGATGCAAAGAGGAGTACTTGTGTCATTTATTATGTGGCCACTGCATGCCAGACTGTAACATCTGAAGGAATAATCAGATAGGCAAGACTGATTTGCAGCCCTGTTGAAGAGGGTTAGCCGTCCCCCGTGTCAGGCTGTCCCACTTAGCCAAGCACACGGGAAGGAGTGGTGTCTGTCTGAAGTCAGGGTGAGGGGGCCTGGATGCCCTGGCTGCCACAGCTGTACTGCATTCCCTCTGTGCCCGTGAGCTGGCGGAGCCTTGGGAATTGGCCAGCAGCCTGTTCAGCCCCCAGCCAGCCCAGTCACCAGGTCTCTCTGTGCCATCCCAGCCCAGCCTATGGAGGCCGCTCATGCTCAGGACCCTTCTTCGAGTACCAGATCTGCAACAGTGAGGATTGTCCTGGACCCTATGAAGACTTCCGGGCCCAGCAGTGTGCCGCACGCAACTCCTACTACGTCCATCAGAATGCCAAGCACAGCTGGGTCCCCTATGAGCCGAGTGATGGTGAGCATCCCACCCGTGTCCTGGGTGCCCAGTGTGGCCATGTGAGGCTGCCCTCCGGGGCTCCCGCAGGCCAGGTGGAGGGACTTCAAGGCATCAGAAAGGACACTCCCTGGTTTGAATTTAGAACGCTAGGATCCTCAAGCTGGAAGGGACCTCAGGCTGGGCCGTCATTGAGGATCCCTGTGGGGCCCCTGGCTGGGAGTGTTCTTCCTTCTGCTTGGAGTCCTCCCATTCTGAGGAGCCTCTTCCTGCTGCCTGCCCAGGTGTGCCATCAGGCCCCTGCCTGAGCTCCAGAGCATTGCAGCCCCATGGGCCCAGATCCCACTGGGAATCTGGCTCCTGTGCATGAAATCCGAGCTATCTTGGGCATTGTAGCTCCAGCCTGGGGTCCTGGGAGCTGGAGGCAAGAAGTCACCAGGTGTCCGGGGAGGTCAGGGGCCAGGAGGTGGAGTTGCTAAGCCCTCAGGAATGGGCTGCAGGGAAGACTCACTGTGGAAGCCTTTCCGGTCTCATCAGAACTGGAACCAGCAGCTGTGGTGTGGGGAGGGAGCAGGGAGGCCTGGCAGGCAGCAGAACCCCTTTGGGCTTCTCCCAGGACTTACAGATAAATCCCAGGAAGTCAGCTGAAATCCAGGCTTGCCTCCTCTGAGAAGCACAGCAATTGTTTACATGTCCTCTGGAATCTCCTTTTTAGGACACCAGCAACCCAGATAGGAGAATATTTCACTGTCAGGACAGGGAGGGACCTTTCCCCGCCTCACTGCAGCTCCGTCACGACCCAAATCCAGGCTGGCATTCTGCCTCTGTTCACACCGTCTGAGGTGTGTGAACATGCTCAGATGCACCACCAGGCTGCTCTGGGCGTGCCCGGTGAATCGTGCTAGGGGTCTGCCACTCACACTGGACTGCGCAGGCTGGAGTCCTGCGGAGCTGCTTGCCATGCCACCAGAAGCAGGCTTGTGATCTCCTGGTCCTTGGTTTCTCCTGTCAGGCTAGAACTTGCCTCACTGAGGTGTTGAGAGGCTTACGTGAGCCAATTCATGAGACGCCTTTAGAGTTGGGTATCAAGGGCGTGTGAAGCGAGCACACCGTGAACACTAAGGATTGGCTTGCTGTGATTCTTATGCTTTTGTTGCTTGCTTTTTCTCAGTAACCATGCTGTGGCATTTTTCTGATCAGAGATAACGATAATAAAGAAGATGAGATCACCTGTCCCAGGTCACACCCCTCACAGGGAGTCTTGAGTCCGAGCTCCACAAAGTGCGCACCCCTTTCTGCCCCACACCACCTCCAGAGCTCCTTAGCTAGGCTGAGCACCAATGTCACTCGGGGCCGCCTGCGGTCTGTCAGCCGAGTGGGGGCTCACTGTGGTCCCTCTGCCCACAGATGCCGAGAAGTGTGAGCTGGTCTGTCAGTCGGCAGACACAGGCGAGGTGGTGTACATGAACCAGGTGGTCCACGACGGGACACGCTGCAGCTACCGGGACCCGCACAGTGTCTGTGCCCGTGGCGAGTGTGTGGTGGGTGCTGTCCTCGTGCTCCATAGGAGATAGCGTGGCCACAGCTGCTGTGCTTGGGAAGCCCCTGAGGCTCTGTACAGTACTAGAGAGGAGACAGCAGGTGTGGACACCAGGTCACGTGGTAGATTTGGGGAGGGCCCTGTCTTGGGAGGCCTTTGGGGCCAGGGTTCCCCTCTAGTCAGGGCTGGGGACAAGGATGAAAGCCTGGCTGCTCCCACTCACCTCGCCTCTGCCTCAGCCCTTCGGCTGTGACAAGGAGATGGGGTCCATGAAGGCAGAGGACAAGTGTGGCGTCTGTGGTGGTGACAACTCCCACTGCAGGACCGTGAAGGGGACCCTGGGCAAAGCCTCCAAGAAAGCAGGTGAGCAGCATGGGTGAGGTGACCCTCGGTGGCCTCTCCCCTTGATCCAGACCATGGTTCTGGCAGGGCTAAGGGATCCTGGAACCTGTCTCACTGTAGGGTTGGTGACTCTGAGAAAGACTGGATCCACATGGCCCATTTTACCTACATCCCTACAGTAGCTTAGGTGTGAGAAGAAAGAGGGAGGGAGAAGGTCAGAGGGGCAAGGAGGGGAAGGTGCAGAGGTGAGAGAAGAGGGCCAGGCAGCTGCGAACCAGAGTGATGCGTGCGCAGTGTGCACTCCGTGGGCCTGTGGTGGCCCCTCCCCTTTACAGCAGAGGGCTTCCATGCTGATGAGACGGTCCTGGGCCTTGGGGGTGGGGTGCTGGGCAGGGCCCTGCTCAGGGTATTCCCTGTTGACTGCATCCTCCTGTGTGGCAGCTGCTCTCAAACTGGTGCAGATACCAGCGGGTGCCAGACACATCCAGATTGAGACGCTGGAGAAGGCCCCCCAGCGCATCGGTGAGTGCGGGTGTCCAGGGCAGGGTTCCAGGCACACTGAATGGAGGTCCAAAAGGAGGCCTAGTGACCAGCCCCCACCTCCATGCCTCAGGGCAGTTTCTTCCCCATGGGCAGCCACGTTCAGATTTCTCACGCACTGAGATGCTTGTGAAGGGAAGTCTGTCCCAGTGTGCACGGGTCAGTTGTTGCTGCGTGACTCACCACCCCAGCATGTAGTGTCGTAAACTAGTTGCTGGATCTATGAGCTGCCTGTGTGGACCCATACAGATGTTGTCAGCTGGTGGATCTGTTGGGAGCTGGCCGGCCTGGGCTGCGTGGGGTTAGTACTGCTGTCAGTTCTGGTGGTGAGCACGGCAGAGCCATGTCTCCAGCAGGCTATAAGTAGGGGTTACTCACCTGCTGTCTGTCTTGTGGTCCTCAACAGTAGCGTCCTTTTCTGATGTTCCTTTGGCCCACATCACATGGACAAGCCTCAGGCAGGAAGACTGCCTGTTCGGAGCCCAGCTTGGGCAACTTAGCAAGACCCTATGTCAAGACAAAAATAGACTAGTGGTGCAGCCAGAGTGAAAGTCCCAGGTTCAATCCCCTGTACTGAAACACACACGTGCATGCACGTATGCACGCACGCACGCACACACGCACTGCTAGTCTCTCGGTGAAAGAACGGTGAAGTTGCTGTGGAGGGGAGCATTGCAGCGTAGTGTGCAGTACTGGCAGGTGCTGAGGCCCATTTCTATAGACCACCAGCTAGGTCTCTCAATTACTCTCATTTTGATGCTACTTAAACTCCCTTCATCCAGGGATGGATTTATGCTTATAAATAGCTATGGGGCAAAGACACATTAAAAATTAGAACCCTAAAATTAATTAAATAAAAATTCCCATTATAAGAATATTAACAGGACGTGGGAGCTATTTTTATTGTCTTGTTTTTGCTGAAAGCAAATTGGCAAAAGAAGCAAATTCAGAGACATACATTGGAATCAGGGGTGTCAGGAGTTGGGGGAGGAGATGGGGTGACTGCGAATGGGTGTTGGGTTTCTTTGGGAGTGATGAAAAAGTTCTGGAATTGCACAATGATGGTGGCTGAATGTGCTGGAGCATCACTGAATTTCACACCGTGACAGGGTGAATTGCATGTGGTGGATTTTATCTCAATTATAAACCCTTGAGCATGGTTTGGAGCAGGGCCTGGTGGGCTGTGGGCAGCAGGCTGCTTCTGCAGTAGCTGGGCTCTCCCCTGTGGATCTGTGTTCAGGTCCCTCCCAAAAGGCCTGTGGGCTGCACATTAACCTTGGCATGGTCCCCACTGACTGGTCATGTCCACTAAGTCACACTACTGTGGCACCTGCCCGTCATAAACACCAACACAAGGCATGACCTGTCTTGGCAAACGCAAAAATGCTGACAGTTGTATTTTAGATGATTATCAATAGGCCCTCAGGAGGATGTAGCTTGCCCTGTAAGGTGTCTCTCCTTATAACAACTCTGATTGATTGCTAACCGGCTCTGGGAGGCGCTGCGAAGGACTGGATGTACACGGGCAGTGGGCTCAAGTGGAAACTGAGGCCTGCCATTAGTTCAGGCGTTTGTGTGCTTGAATTCGCCTTTGCAGATCTGGGCAGAGCCAGCCCGGGTCCAGGACTCCTGTGTCCCACCCTGGCCTTCTGCTACCGTGAGCATGCATTTGCAAGATGTTAGTTCAGATCATTCCTGCCTGCTGCGCCTGCCGGATTGTGGGGAGCTGGCGCTACTCGGCTGCGGCTTTTGCTGCTGTCTCCCTGGGATGGTTCCTGAAGGTTAACAACAGCCCTCCAGCCTGCTCCACCTCTAGCAGCCTAGGTCTTTGGTCACCATCGATGGGGAACATTCCTTATGGGCCAAGAGCTGTTTCCTATGGCAGTCAGAGAAGGGCTGCCAGGACAGGGGCAGGTGGGGTGGGACTAGGTGGGCAGCCTGCAAGGAGCGGGAGCGGAGTGGCTGGGAGCTGGAGGCTGGTGTTGGCCGGGGCCGTGTGAGGTGCATGTGTGTGGAGTGTGAGTGTGAATGTGTGTGATGCATGCTTGCGTGTGTGTGTCTGCTGGAGTCTGTGCTTTCTGCAGAGGCGCAGGGTGGTGACAGCCTTGGCAGTGAAAGCCACAGCGCTGTTCAAGCTGGAGCCACACTTTATCATGGCCAAATTAAGCCTCGTGATGGCTTATGAAGGACATAGTTATCCCATTTTACAGTTAGGAAAACTGAGGCAGCATGAGGACACCTAAGTCACTTCCCATGATGTCTGTAGCTCTAGAGCCTGAGCTTGCCACCTCTATATCTTGCTGTGGAAGCTCCAGGAGGGAGCAGCCCTGAGGGTGGGGCAGTCAAAGCAGGGCTTCTAAAGGAGATTACGTGGAGCTGTAACCATAGATGGAAATAGGAAGACAGAGGCAGTGAGTGCCGGAGCAGTGGCGGACACCGGGGTCCAGAGGCAGGACAAGGGTGTGCAGCAGGCATTGTGTGGGCCTCTCTGGTGGGAAGGATTCAGGCAGAAGGCAGGCAGACAGCAGAGCCTGGAGGGGCACTTGGGGGAGGCCTTTGCCGTCATATTCTGAGTCCCTCTGCTAGGAAGTAGAAATCTGTGTGCCCCTCTTCCCAACCAGCGGTGAAGAACCAGGTCACCGGCAGCTTCATCCTCAACCCCAAGGGCAGGGAAGCCTTGAGTGGGACCTTCACCGCGCTGGGCCTGGAGTGGGAGCATGAGGTGGAAGATGCCAAGGACAGCCTCAGGACCAGCGGGCCCCTGCCAGAAGCCATTGCTGTCCTGGTGAGCCTTGTTCCTGGCAGTGGCCCCTGCTTGCCTCTTGTCCCTTGAGGCCATCTCCTCTGTGAGACCCAGGGGGGCTGCATGCAGGAAGTCTGCCTTCCTTCACACGGGGTGGGAAATGGGCCTGGGGCAGGCATCAGGTAGGGCTCAGGGTAGTTCCCCAGGTCGCCGGGCGTCCTCTAGCCTCAGCACGCATCATGGCATGGTCAGAACCTGAGTCCTAAGGGGGCTTGCTCAAGGCTTTAAGGCAGCTGACGTGGAGGTGCCATCTGGCAGTGCCAACCTTCTAAGAACGGGATAGGACCATTGTCCTGCCCAGGACCTATTTCTTCCACACCTGCTTCCTCAGCTGGGCCCCAGCTGAGGGAGCGGGTTGGGTGGCCATCAGACCAGCTTGAGAGAACTCTGTCCATGTGCCTTCAGTTCTGGTTGGCACCATGGACACCTTGGACAGGCTTGGTTCTTGCTGTTGCCCTCACCAGTCAGGAAAGTCCTATAGGGTGGGCTCTGAGACCATTGTATCAGCGTTTTAATTCCACTCAACATGTGCTTTTTTTTTTTTTTTTTTTTTTTTTTACGGAACTGGGGATTGAACTCAGGCCCTAGTGCTTGCCAGGCAAGTGCTTATTCCACTGAGCCATCTCCCTCTGCCTCCCAACATGCGTTTTTCTATTCATCTTCTATTTATTGACTGCCTGTATATCTGGGCCCCACTGATTTTCAACAAGGGCACCAGGGTCATTCAGGGAGGTGGAGAGTCTCCACCAGTGGTACTGAGACAACTGGATAGTCACATGCAGAAGAAAGAAGCTGGAGCCCCACCTCCCAGCCCATATAAATGGTGACTCCAGTCAGATGACAGGCCTATGTGGAAGAGCTGAGACCATAGAACTCTTAGAAGGAAACAGAGGGGTAAATCTTTAAGACTCAGATTCTTAGATATACTACCAAACGCATAGGCAATCAGAATGGAAAAAGTGTGTCAAATCATTCCTTAAGAAGTGGGAAGACCACAAGGTTGGAGAAAATAGTTGCAGCTCATGTATCTGACAAGGGTCTGCTGTCTGCTGTATTTCTTGACACTGTCCAAAGTCAGGGAGAGAGCAAAAGACCCAGGGGCGTGGGTCTTGTCCTCATTCGGGCACAGGTCGATGGGAGGGAAAGGCCCTTATAGACCTGCGGCCGGCCGGCTGCTCTTCCTGGCACGCAGCAGTATTGAGTTTGGGCAGCAGGACCTTGTTGTGTGGCCGCAGCCTCCCCAATCCCCAGCCATACTTGGCTCTGCCCTGCCCCATCCTGAACCCACATCCTTCTCTTGGCCCCGTCCCCACCCTGCTGCTCTTTTTGCTCCCATGCCACCTGCTCCCCATCTCCTCTCAGGTGCTGCCCCCAGCTGAGGGTAGCCCTCGAGGTGTCCTGGCCTACAAGTACGTCATCCACGAGGACCTGCTGCCCCTCATCGGGAGCAACAATGTGCTCCTGGAGGACACCGACACCTACGAGTGGGCGCTCAAGAGCTGGGCCCCCTGCACCAAGGCCTGCGGAGGAGGTGCCTGCTCTCCCATTGCCCAGTGGGGCAGCAGTGGGCCTCTGGGGAGGAGTGGAGCTGCGGGGAGGGAGGCCTCTTCCCATGAGGGCTAGCCCAGTGGGGACAGGCAGCTGCCCCAGGGAGCAGACCTGATGAAGGCAGGCAGAAAGTGCCTTGGGCAGGAGGGGGCGCAAAGGCACCAAAGAGGTGGGCTTGCCCCCCACCCCCAGGTTCTCCAGAAGGACCCAGACAGCAGCCCACCCTTCACAGGTATCCAGTTCACCAAGTATGGCTGCCGGCGCAGACGGGACCACCACATGGTACAGCAGCACCTGTGCGACCCCCGGAAGAGGCCCAAGCCCATCCGCCGGCGCTGCAACCAGCACCCCTGCCCCCAGCCTGGGTGAGCGCTTGGGAGCCTGGCCCCTGCCTCCCACTGTCCTGACCAGGAGTAGGCGCTGCTCACCTTCCCAGCCCAGCCCAGCCCAGAGCCAGGTTTCCGTGGGACCGGCCCAGGCAGCACCCACTCTCCTGCCCAGCTATGCCCTCTGGGGCTTCTGGGTCATTAATTTCCACTCCTAGATGAAGGAGGACTCTCCCAGACATGGTTTTCCCCTAGTGATGCTCAAACATACACGTGGATTCTGTGCTTGCTGACCCCAGTCCCTAAGCTGAGATGCTGTCCTCTAAGGACACTTGGCCTGCCAGTTCCCACTTGGGATTCCCCAGCTGAGGACACAGGCTCCTCTGAGCACAAGGTCATGTTCTGGGGTTATTTGGAGGGACCTTCGGGGAGAAGTGAGAGCGATGCCTTGGGATAGACTCCAGGTCAGAGCCAGAGTGCACGTGGGGGCTGGTGGCCACACTAGAGGCTGCTGGCCTGCTGCACCCAGCCTGGGCTGTGGTGTCCAGCCCCTCCTGTGCCCAGCACAGCTTCATATCTACCCCCTGTGCTATACCTTTACCCTGCCACTCAGACTAACCCCACAGACATGACCACAGAGCCTGCATGCAGGGCTGACCGCCTGAGATCCCAGGGGAGCTTCTCCAAGTCTTGGAGTTGTCTTTTTGTAAAGGAAGAGGTTGGCTTTGTAAAAATTTCTCAGAGATTCCCCAAGGTCTTAGGAAACAGGTGGAGAAGGACTTGGTTTGGCAGTTGGAAGTTGCTGGGCTGTTAAAATGCTTGTAGGCCACCCCCGGTGCTGCCAGGGATGAGGCTAGCGTGGGGGT